CTTTCGCGCGTCCAAGCTGGCGACGCTGACGCCGCTCGTGTGGCTGAGCCTGCTCCACGTCGCGCTTCTCACGGCCATTGCTGCCACGGCCTTCGAGAGCGCTCATGACGTCGAGCCACTTCTCCAGCGCGCTACCTTCGACCGTGCCTCTCTGGAAGTCATGATGTTCGACGGCGCCTACCCACAGAACGTGTACCTGTGGACGGAACCGGATAACTTCAACTGCAAGTCAACGGACGACAAGGACATGACACTCAAGCAGCGCTTTGACGAAGCGTACTGCGCCAAGCGCGGCCACGTCTACTGCGACAGCTTCCCGATGCGCGCCGTCCTCCGGTTCGGGCTCATCAACGCCACGTCCGGCAATATCATCCGACTTGCAAGCGCCTCGCTCAACACAACCTTCTTTGACGTCCCGATGACCAACTCGACGACGCTGACGGACTTTTGCCGCCACGTGACGTCAAGTGTGTTGACAGTCGAGCCGACGTTGAGTACGCTCTGCGACGGCTGCCAACGGACGCGCGAGACGTCTGCGCTTGGCGACTGGATTGACGACAACTGCGAATCGACCGCGTGGGCCGCAAACCTTGGGCCCTTCTGCATCCAGTACCGCAGTCAGAAGGTCTACCCGGAATTGAGCCCTGCGTGTCGCTATGTCATGATGAAGCCGCAGTATAGCTCGACGTCCGCGGATGTATGCTACCACACGACCTTTCCCGCCAAGGTTCAACGCGATGCGAATGCGCTGGCGGCCACGGCGGTGGCGCTGGGCGTGATGAGCCTCGTCGTCGCGGTTATGCTTGGTCGACTCCAGGGCTCGCGGGATACGGTCGACGAAGAAGACACGCTGATGTTTGAAGCCATGACACAACCATCGCCAGCGCCGACCATTCATTAGCTTTGGATGACGCATGCAAAAGTTGATTTTTATGTCTTCCAAGTCGGTGGCATTCCTCTCACGACAGTCTATGTTGTCGTATTGCTTTGGCTATAACTTTACTCACGCAAAGAGGCGCAGCGCTCTGGTTCGCCCAAGGGTCCGGTGTGACAGCATATCGAAGAAAAGTTGCAGTACGAGCCGCGGTGTTGACCCTGGAGCCTTTGACCGACGCTCTCGTGCTGCCGTCGTCCGACCAATGGATTTGGCGGAGACCCGTTGCATGGACAGTCACTTGGCGGGATCGCTGTCCTTGCCCACGAGTGTCATGCGGCTACCTCCCGATGAAAGGAGTAGTTTCACGCGGCACGCTTGAAGCGGTGCTTTTGTCCACAGCACGTGCGCCATCTTCAGCCGGTGCCCGAACGTCGGTTCCCGTTTTAGCGAGGCAGCAACTATCAACGTCCAAGACCTGCGGTCCAAGCGCATTTCCAAAGAAGTCGTCTCCAAGCAGCACGCTCACCAATGCTACTCATTTTAACCCACCCGCCAGTCCCTTCTTGGGCAGCGGCGGCCTCCCAACACGAAGCAGTGTCCTGGATTCCACTTGATTTTGGAATCCATCTACTAGTGTCCAACGGCAAACGTCCCGAGCAGAGCATAAACTTGCCAAGTGCTTCGCGTGCCAATTATCCAGGGGCATCGTGCGACAGAACGAGACCGGTGCAAGTCAAAAGGCGCCAACTCCACTGCAGCGCACGAGGCAACACAAGACTGCATTCGCCTTCTCGAGCCCCGCATCCTTCACATTCTGAGCATCGAGTTTTCACCGTGTCGAGTGGAACCCAGAGTAGTGTACATATGTATGACAGCCAGGTTTTATAGACATGTTGAATCCCACTCTTAAAGGGTGACTAAGGCTGTACCAATTCATACAGTGTATTGGAGTGGACAGGAAGTTGAGAAACGGAGTGGACAGGAAGTTGAGACAACGTCAGTGTTCAATTGCGTTTGCCAAGCATGCTTCGCCTCTCGTGGCAGCTCCGCGTCTGTCTTGGCGCCGCCAGCCTCGTCCTGCTCTACGATCTCATCGTTT